GAATAGTCTATACCATTCATCTGTACAAAACAATTAAAAATGTAATGGATATATATATTGTTAATCTTTTGAACTAAACTAAACTAAAACTTTAACGAGTATTATAACACAGCAGTCTAAACAAATATGATCAAATACTTTCATAAAAGTTATATGACATAAAGGTAGAGGGCGTGATGATATCTGCAACTGAATTACAACTTACCTTTTTATATGTGACGTCATTAGAGTTCCACGTGGCTACGTGCGTTCTCTCTTTTGCTTTGCTGTGATTAGTGAAGTTTCTGATTGTAATAATTCGACGGTGTCTAATCTATGTTGCACATAACAATATATTGACGTTATTTACAAACATAATTATTAGCGGGCTAGGTAATTATTTGTGGCTAGCTTAGGCCTTTAATAAAGAGAAAAAATATTGTACTTTATTGTCTGAGTTAGTTATACGTGATACTCCAGTTTTTAAATAGTTTTCGTAAGCTGTGTTTTGGTAAAGCTGTGATTAGCTTAAGAAAATCTAATTAAATTCTCTTTCAGGGCGGTTTCAATTAACAGCCACTTTTTACAAAGTATTTCCATTGAGAGAATTTAATAAAGATAACTTCTTTTTCAACATACTAACAGAAAAAACTTTAAAGCAATCCATTTTTGCATACTGAATTAGTTTTTTTTATCGACTTCCAATTTTATCCTGGCTACCATAAAATAGAAATCTGACTTTACTTGGCAGTTATAAATTACAAGAATTATTTTCTTCGTCCCTATTGTGGACGCGGGTTAGCCCTGTGGTAGAACTCCCGATTTCGAACCTGGCGTAGGTGGTAGATGCTGCTACTGGCTGTCTTCCTTCTCTGTCAATAACTTAAAGCCCCCTCCCCCCAGTGACACGTCTGCAGACTTACAACACTAAAAACAGGGTTTCTATATCCATTGTGTAGCTTTGTGTTTACCTACAAACAAATAGTAATTTAAAATCAGGAACGACATGGCATTCATAACATGCTTTCTCATTTTATTTCCCGCAAAAAAAAGAAGAAAGAATGGCGATAATAAATTGTATACTTCAAAGAAGATTTTATTGTGATGGTTATTCATCGTAAAGAATTCATCATTATTGTTTTAAGCTTTAATTTGGAGTTTATTTTGCTTTAAATTCTAAATAAATTAGGGCATTCAAATTTTAGACCTGACATGGCCTGGTGGTTTGGGAGCTCGACTAGCCATCTGGGGTAGTGAGTTCGAATCTTCATCACCGAATATATTCACCCTATATGGTTGCTGGACAGCCACTCTAGTGTAAATAATTCTTGGCTTACAACAATACAGGCTGACCCCCAAAGTAGTTGGGATTACGGTCGTAAATAGAAAAACAAAACAAAAAATGTTATATATGTAATTAACATGTCTAGAAAATAATTCTAAAAAAAAATTATTCTATCCGGAGACGTCGCTAGGCACAAGCATACGGGGCCCGTGCCCCCAATCCCCAATTAGTGTCTTGAAAAAAAGCAGAACAGAAAATATGATCGATATCATATTGATACGCCGAAAATTTCCGCGCCTATGGGCCCGAACCTTTTAAGCACCTAGCATTACCTTTGTTCTGTACATTGAGGTTCATATTATTTAAAGTTGTTTCATATTGGGTATCAATTATTAAAGCTCTCATACCAAATGCTAGAAATATCCTGCTTCTTTTTTTTTTTTGTCCTATTTGAAATGTTCCACTCAACACTGAATAGTCAATATTACTCTTAAAGACTACGGTTTGTGTCATAGAATAGCTAAATTCTTCTTGTAAATGTTAAAAGGGCGGAATTTGTTTAAAATAGTAACAAAATAATATAGTAATAATACTCATTGTACTATTTCTGAGGTGCAACTTGAGAAAATCTGGTGAAAATTGGAATTCAGAAATATCTATTAAATTCACTATAGTTTGTAACTGTCTGAATCTATAAAAGTTTTATATAAATCGATAGCTTTTAGTATTATGAAAAATATAAACACCCATTGTCTTTGATAATTATTTGCACACATAATAGTACTAAGCGTGCAAAAACTATAAAAACTAGAGGGACACTCAGTACAGCGCATACCTCCGTCACGCAGCGTTGATTATATTCGGCCCTCAAAAAAATATGAAATTCTGTTCATATGCCTGTCGTTTTAAAATGACATGGACCATTTTTGGCAGAACAACGAGGAATAATATTCTACACACGTCCTCCAAGTTTCGTCAAAATCCAATAATTTTTAACTGAGTTATAGATAAAAAAAAGTGTGGAAAATTGGTATCCATGTTAAGAGATTGGGATTTTTTTTTTAACTTCGTGACCTTGACTTATGACCCCCCAAAACAAATCACTTCTACGTTGGGTCATAGTCCAAATATATACCAAATTTCGTCCAAATCCATTCAGACATTTTCGAGAAATCTTGCTGACAAACACACAGACAGGGATAAAAACATAACCTCTGTCACCCTTTGTTGGCGGAGGTAATAAAAAGTAACACGTCATACCCCAGTCACCCACCCTCTCCAAAGAACGATTGCTACAATAAATTAACTGCGAATATTATAAAATAACGCAAATTAAAATTTATTAAACTTAAAAGTAACTAATGAAGGTTTTTATCGTTATACTGTTTCCACTTTGTGTCATTTCGATACAATACTTTACGGAATAAAAAAATCTGTACTATATTATTCCACAGTTAGATGTGATGGAATAGGTGAAAATCAATTCCATAATTATTATTGTAGGAATAACTATATTTCCCTGGTGTTCTTAATATTATGACTAAACGATAACGGGTTGTTACGCCATCCGTGTTTATATGACGTACATACTATCAAAACAACGCATTCGCACTAGTTATCTTTTCATTTAACGGGTTAAATAACATCCTATAATAATTTGAAACAAAATACACTTGAGGAAAACAACTACCTAAAATAACCGTCAAACAGAATTAAAACTTTGATACGTATTTAATAAACAAGCACTAACTGTGATCTTTCATAATATTTAGGTTGAACTTTTACGTCATTTGTTGGCAGTGTTCCATATTTGATTGCTCGCTGATAAACACGTGAGATCAGAACGAATTTGACCAATCACAAATGAATGTATCATCACTTGAAGGCGGGATTTCATAGCACGTGCTGTATATAAATGTCGTTTGGCAGCTGGTTAGTTAAGCCTACTTTCGTGTCTGAATTTCGTAACTATTAATCAAAGCACAAGTTGAGAGGTAGGCCAAGCTGGTTCAGTTGTAACTGTGAATCATGACTATTGAAATTCACAGTAATATTGAAATGCCATGCGTAAGTGATGAACTGAATTCTTCGTTCTCAGTTCCTAATCGAACTGATAGCAATAACTCAGGAAGTGAAGGGTTTTTACTACCTTCAGTCCACATTAACGACATAGATATTGAAAGTTACGATTCCAGCTCATCGACAACCGGGAGCGGCATTGAAGAAGACGGAGAAGCCGAAAATGGTGATTCTCTTGGTTATTACAAGTATTCGGATAGTGACAAAGGAAAAGACTCTGGAATAGAATGCTCACCTAATGTTGAAGATTTTACAGAGCTTGATAAAGAAGTGATGGAAAAGATTATAAACCAAGTAGAGTTCTATTTTTCGGACGTCAATATCCTGAAAGACCATTTTCTGTTGAAGCATGTACGTCGAAATAAGCAGGGGTACGTAAGTTTGAAACTTGTTGCTTCTTTTCGAAAAGTGAAACGTTTTACTAAGAATTGGAAAATTGTAGCACATAGTTTGAAACATTCTACGAAACTAGAGATAAATAAAGACGGCACCAAAGTCCGCCGTAAAGAACCCTTACCTGACTATGACGAAACAGCGCCATCTAGAACCGTCATAGCATTTAAACTACCTTTCGAAAACCCAACAATGGAAAATATTGGAGAAATGTTTTCTAAATGTGGTGATATTGCGCTTATTAGAATTATTCGACCTGATGGAGCTATTCCAGCTGATATAAAAAAGTTTCTTCATAAATATCCTGAAATGAGTTCTAATGTTTGTGCCATGATCGAATTCGAGAACCATGAGGGGGCTTTTCGTGCTGCAAAGACTTTTTTCTCTAGCCATGATAATTGGCGATCCATACAAGTAATTCCTGTTGTTCAAAATACCTCATCCAAGAGTAATGCCAGTTATGACACTAAAAATAAAGGAAACGAAATAAAGAGAAAGAAAAAAGAAAAGCGACAAGATCGTGTATCTCAGCTCCGAAAAAGTGAATCTTCAACATTCGGCAGTTGTTTAGAGAATGAACAGTTCTCTTCAGGACCAAGGAGAAATTCTAGTAGTTCTATCAACTCAGGATACCTCTCAACCTCGCCAAAATACAGCCAAGAATCATCTTATCGTCGCCACAGTTTCAGTTGTAACCAGAAAGCTTCCAAGAGTCCGACTAATTCTCGAAAAAACAGTAAACCCATAGTTCGGCAAAAATCCAATAGCTGTTGCGACAATGACTCATCTAACCAGATGGTAGTTTTAAGTAACCCGTGGGTCCAACGACGGTTATTGGCAGCCAGAGAAAAAGGGTGCACGTCTCCCACCCACAACTCTCGACTGTTGATTCCTAATGGCGTAATAAGACTCCCCAAGGGTCCAGACGGTACGAATGGCTTTAATTGGAACCGCTTAAAACCTCGCGCTCAGTTTGTGTCGTCTACTTTGGTGACTGTAGGCAGTTAGGAATAGAAACCTTAAATGTTTTAAGAAAAGTCTTGTTACTTACATCATAACACTTTTTTGTTCACTTTCTTATTGCAAGATCTCTCATTTCTAGTCTACAGGAATGTTTTCTACGAGTTCTTTGTATTATATTGTAAATAAATATTTGTACAGTCACATAGCAAGTATTATTTTGCTAAAATGTGTATTATTGTCAGTGTTATGTATTTTTCACGAATTAAAAAATAAAAGTAAAACTGTGGTTGAATTACAATGTTTTACTTATTAATTATGCATGAAACCTTTTTGACAAGATCAAATTAGCAAAAATAAGTTTTTACAGATATTAATTTACGTTCATCCAAGTTGAACCAGACAAAGACAAGAGACATGCAATTGTAGTAAACAATAATAAAAGAAACAAGGTACAACTTTCATGAAATCACTATATATCTGCAGACATCTTTTGCGAGGAAAGTTCTTTGTATTATGTTAGTCTAATATTTTCATGGACGACTCGGGTCTACTTTCAGTTTGTAATTACTATTTTGTACCTTCATAAATACAAGTTTTTAGTTGTTCTGAAGGTAAATTTCCGCTACTAACTCCACAAAGTTTAGAGTAACACGTGTCATCATAGGGTCAGACCTGGCATAGCTTGGTAGGGCGTTCGATTCGCAAACTGTGGGTTGCGAGTTCGGCTACCCAGAAGTAAAAAAGAAAGAAAAAACAACATCTTGACTTACTTAAACCTTACCGAAAGGCCCCAAACTAGTAGGGATTAAGATCGTTACGGAGGAGAAGATGTGTAGTGGTAAATGATACTTTCTTCTAACGTTACATCACAGACTGACCTGGCCGCCATTTGCCAAAAAGAGAGATGTTTAGAGAGAATTTGAGAACATTTAGGTATGTTATGCTGATGTTACGATTTATCAAGTAATAATAATCCTGAAATTTTAGTTCAAGCCAAAATTATAGTGTTCTTTGTTCCCTAAGTATTATTTTTATTTATTGCTATTTTCATTAACAGTATTGATTAGACTGTTTAGATATCGAATATTATTACTTTTTATTTATATTTTTATACTTTTATGATAGATAGTAATTTGCACTGTTAGTTTAATATATGTACTAGGAGGAAAATCGTGCTTCTTGGGCTACTCTTTTACCAACGAATAGTGGGATTGACCGTCGCATTATAGCGCCCCACGGCTGAAAGGGCGAGCATGTTTGGTTGGATTGGAGATAGGGCTCTAAGGGATAACAGATTCATTTCCCAAATACCTTTTCTTTTGAAATGCATAGTACTATATATGGCCACTCCTCTCTTATGTATATGGTGATATCGTCCGTACCCTCCTACTCCTAATTTTATTTTTGCATAGTTTAATAGTTTCAAAAGCTTCCCACGTACACACTCACGCTACGTTTTAATTATATAGATTTAGGACTAGCCTAAATCCCCTAAGCTGTCTCAAACCTTGTGAGATGTTATTGGGACTTATGGTCGATAATATCGTTAACGGCGAGGGTTACCTAACTTATGAAACGATGTATTCTCATCTTTATAAGTCGGAACGTAAAAAAATACGTATATTTAATTAGATGGACTGACTGCGAGTTTGATTTTGTTTAGATTTAAATACATAGCTTGCTCTTACGGTAATTCCCCTTTGAAGATTTATAGAAGTGGAGGGCATAAAACACCCGTCATTTGTGGAGTTTCAATATTCAAAACAATCCATTTTACTTCACTAGATTAGCTTCATTGTTGTTAAGCGCAAAACTACACAAGGGGATATATGTACTGTGCCTAGAGCTGGTATCAAAAACCGATTTGTAGCGTTATAAGCCCTTAGACTTACTGTTGAGCCACCAGTTTCTCCTAAAGTTCATAAACGCCAATTACAAAAATTATTCTATTAACAGCTCGATCAAAGTGAATTGCATCAATCATAACAGTCGTAGATTTGATAAATTCAATTTGTTCTAAATAAGAGACGAAAGACGTTTATTAAGAAATTAATGTTCATAAAAGAATTATAATACTTTCTCATTTGTAACCTGTATGTTAATATATCTTATGTTTATTAAATGAAAGTTTAAGACTTTTTATAACAAGGATAGTCCCTTGATGGGTTAGCGGTAAGTTTATATATAAAAATCCACGGTTCGACTGAGTGGTGGATATAATCCATTCTGTAACTTTGCGCTAAGATAATAACAATCAAAATTGACAGTTTCACTAGTTAAGATATGCTTCTTTCACTAGCAAACTTTCTACCATTTGGTGCTTCCAAATGAATTTATAAAATTTTCGCTAAAATATACGGAAGCTTTACAACTGAGTAACTAGTTTCAATAGTAATTAACACCACCACCATCAAGTTTTATCAGTCTTTTGAGCACCGACTGGATACACGATCAAACAATGGTTACTTCAAGTTTTGAAACATTTGTTTTTCTAAACTTAACGAGCTGAATCATATTCACCTTTAGTAATAAAAAAGCTGTTAATTTGGTAAACGCCCCTCAGTAGTCTAACGGCGAGCCTACGGATTTATAACGCTAAAAATTGAGTTTCGATTCCCGTGGCGGGCACAGCACAGATAGCCCATTTGTGCTTAACTATAAACAAACATAATTTGGTACACAATGGAAGAGAAAATTTAAATATATTTATAACCATTTATAAGTTTAGGAACTTTATGCACGAAAGCTCTTCACATTTTGGAAAATTTACCCAACTCAAGATAATGGGATTTGTTTCTGAAACGGACCCCTTCTTTCAGAATATGACTGAAACTGCCTAAACTTGCTGTAACGAGGTAAGTAAAATCTTCTTAGGCTCCAGCCTTGAGTGAGAGACAAACTTTCAGAATATGACTGAAACTGCCTAAACTTGCTGTAACGAGGTAAGTAAAATCTTCTTAGGCTCCAGCCTTGAGTGAGAGACAAACTTTCAGAATATGACTGGAACTTCCTAAACTTGCTGTAACGGGGT